ATGGTCAGGAACGCTTTCCAGTTGCCGTTTCTCAGATTCACACATATGCATCTGTGCTAACCGGCGAAAAGTTAGCAGACTGGCATGAAGTGTATACCGATTTTATCGAAGTAGTACGGGAATTCGCCGGGAATGGAGCAGTTGAGACGCGCCTTGAGGAACGAGGTCCAAGAATAGGCGGAACCGTGGCTGGCACCGCCGCGGTCGTTCTTGCACACCCTGGCCACTCGGGAGATCACTGCTTTCCCGCAGCTCATGTACTCGACCGCTCCTTCGCTGAACCAAAAGTATACGTGGTCTTTGTCGGCAAACGACGCTACGAAGTTAGGTTCTGAAAGAGTGATGTAGTCACCAGAAGAGGCTGACTCAGTACTGCGCTCACCACTGAGGCACTTGATATCGTTCCGTTTCGTTCTTAAGCCCAATTTGTCCGCCTCACTCGTCGTCTGCTTGTATATCAACGCATCGGTGCCGGCGAAGTCCGCCGTCGTGCCTGTGTACATCTCTTCGCCGTTCGTCATGTACAGAAAAGTAGCGTTGAACGACGGATCGTACGGAACGATGCCGCTGCCCAGAAATTCATTATGTACAATGTATTCGTCCTGAACAAAAACCCCATTTAAAAATATCGCTAATGGCCAGACGATGAGCAAGAATTATAATCAAAGCCGAGACCTAACACAAGGAAATAAAAAATTACAAAAAGTAAAATAAGTAGAACCTGGAGTACAGTAAATCGAAGCGGTGCATACAAATGATGTGCAACAGTTTGATTTCAACTGATATATGGGATAATGAATTTTCGAAGCCACTTACTTCTCGCTTTGGGACAACATCCATTTACTGCATATCGCAACTCGGTAAAAGAGCAGCACCCATCATCATCCAATCACGGAAAGGAAAATCGTAAAAATGAAGCCCAAAATTTTTTCCAAAGTACCGAGAGATTCAGTCACCGTCTGAACATCAAATTATTGAAAGCAGCTTCTGATCCCGGGAATTCGAAGTCGATTCGTCGTCTATACAGAACTGTAGCATAGATCGGAGATGCCGCTTCTCAAAAAGGCACTGATGCAGCCGGAATTTGAAATACAACTGACTGTAAACGAAGTCTATCCATGAAGCGATCAGAGGGCAAATGTATGCTTTGCACTCTTATTTTTCAAATTGTCTTTTGCGCCCCCTTTACAGTCTATGTTTGCAATCTGCAATGAGATCACTTTGTCCATTGTCCAAACAAATAAACTTGACTCATTGACATTATAGAAAACATATAACAATATAATAGGCGGAGCGTTTCAAATGTGTTATAAACAGCAACAGTGGCTCTTTTCAAATAGTAATACCATCAGCTAATTTTAGAGTTCCGCTTGAGGTAGTAAATATGTAGAATGATCTGAGAGAAAATGAAGACAGTTGTCTTGACATCAGAAGTGTTTCTTGGTTTTGGTGTATAGGGTTCACCTTCCAGAAACAATATGAACGTAACACTTTGGCCGAATCATTTCCAGCATTGCTTTTTGCCAGTCAGACAATCGGATCACTAAGGAATATGTTGAAGATGGCCATCTTAAAAAGCCTGAGAGATAGCTGTTTTACAAAATGTTAAAAAACAAAACAACAGAAAACGCTCCAAAGAAATTAATTACAGAAATTTTACGCCATAAATAAATAATTATTAGCTTTGATATATTATTTAACAGAAAAATTCCAATCAGCCATACCCGCTGAAGTTCGTAAACCCGACATTTGGGTTGGAAAGCGTTCGTTCCACAGAGCAGGAAGCTACCATTGGCGTTTTGGCCATAGGCACGGATGAAATTTTGACATTCAAACTAAAACAGAGAAATTGCTATATGACAGGTGCAAAACTGCAGAAAGTTATTAGGAGGAAAATCGTGCTGTCCTCCACTGTTACATCTCAAGTAAAAAATTAATGCACTTGGTAGACGTAAATTTTAGTAAGTGCATGCAACGGCCGCTGTCGCTTCAAAGCTAGAAAATTACTGAAACATGACAGGAGGCAAGTCTCTACCTCGGAGAATAATAGCTGGTTATGCAAAAGTCCATACAATTTTCCGACATTTATTCGAGTGAACACTGTGCTGTCCTTCTTATAATGAACGTGATATGCTTGTTGCTTGTCATCGTCACCAATAAGCTTAATGGCTCGGCTTGCCACAGATCAATCATACACAACAACAATAACAGGGGTTACACCTTCTGCTGATCATCACACTGAATAAGTAGCTATCACTGGTGAAGGCATCAAACAGCATGGCCATATCCGTCATCCATTCTGGTGTGACTATGTTAAAACATCATTCACATCTGTTATTCGGAAATTAACGAGATGCAATCGCGCCCTTCCATACGCAGGAGAGCTGAGATGCAGAACGTGATTTCTCGGGACACACGGTCATAGAGAAAGCTCTAAAATCATCAGAGATTGTACAGCAAATGAGTAAGTAACTTTGCCGAGAAAAGGAAAGTTCGTGCAAGTCAGACACGATATCAGTCTGCACTAACGGAGGTGTTCCCTAACAACGGGATTCGAAAGCACACTTTCGCGGTAACCTTACACGATTATGGTTTATCATCGATACCTGATACATACCTGGACAAATGTGAGGTATGCAAACGTCAGAAATAGCATGAAACACTTACTTCGTTCTGTCCTTTCATAAGGCAGGTTGCCACATCTGCATCCACCGGAAACCAATTCAGGGTCTAAAAGATCGACGGAAATATAATATCTTGTCTTGAGCAAATGATATATAAACGCAAAGGAATTGAAGGGTGTATTGTGTGTTGTCTGATCGTTTAGGGTCGCGGGCCATCACAGTGCCAGTTTCCATGACTGATGATATCAGATTCACTTAAGCATTTGTTGATGGGGGAAAGAACACAGTTCCTGTCGCGAACAGATTTGTTTTTATGATGCTGCGCCTGCCCACGAACTGTCCT